GAGAGAGAGAGAGAGAGAGAGAGAGAGAACAGCACAGAGTGTAAAAAGAACTTTTTAAAAAGAATTCTAAAATATATATATATATATAATAAAATAAAAAGAATTCTAAGTCCCTTGAAATGCAACCATTCTTTTTAATGTGCGCTCTTCTTTTTTCAATAAATCATTTTACTAGGGGCTCTTACAGCTCTTATAACAAACCAGACATCAATCGTATCAAGCACATTTGGGTTTTTTTGCACATTTGTACATACGTTGCCTTCATCATTTCCAAAATATTTTCTTTAGAAATGCAGCCATTCTTATTGATCTTGAACTTTGTGTACTTTTTGGTTAAAAATATTTAGTTTAATTATGGGCAGTTCAAATTGCTCTGCCTACCAGAGAAATCCTTTTCGTTGGATGACTCTCAAATACTATACAGTCCTGCAGAATACAGGGCAGAGCAAGCTTACAGCATCACCTCTTATGGCTCTGGCCTTTAAACTTTGCTAAACTTCTCCTAGGCCAGGAGTCTATGGAACTACTTCTCTTAAATGCTACGCCACAAGAGGTACTCCAGAGCTAGTTCCAGTTCTTTTGCTGGATGACTAGATGTCTCTTTTATGCTCAAGGGTATGAAAGAGTATGTAAAATATTGGTACCAATCTAGGACATTAGATATTTTTGTATTTTTTAATAGCTGAACTGAATATATGTATGAGATTATCTGTAACAAAAATTCTTGGAAATTTAACTGCTTATTCAAAATTTAAAAGATTTGATAATGTGTGTCAGTCATCCTCCAAAGATGGCTGTATTTATGTCTTACCTACAGTGTTCCATGAACTAGTACCCCATATTCCGCGTATTCTCACCAGAACTGAGTATTATCTGTGTGAGTATGATAGGTACAATAATGGCACTTGTGATTATAATTTTGGCTTTGGTTTACCTTTGGCTTCAATTCTCTGGCCACTTCCAATTAGGCAGTCGCTGATGTCAGCTCCCTTCTCGATCACAGCATTGTTGCAGATGACACTGCCCTCGATTCTGCTTCTGTAACACAGTAACCAAGTTAGGGAATGTCCAGCGCTCTCCTCACCTGCCTCACTAGGGATTCTGGCTCCCTCCAAGGCCAGGAATAACTGGTCAGTTCAATTGAAGTCTACAGTTTTAAGTTATCATTAGAAGACAAAATAGCTCAGGTAGACCAAGAAAGACCCAGATTTAGATATGTCCAGAATTGGAATACATTCATAATGATCTTTTCCCCAAGGCCTGAAATCAGCAGACAGAGTGAGTCCCACTCTTAGCAAGCCTATGGAACCTAAGATAACTGCTCCATATGTTTTCCAAGGCTATAAATCTCTACAGAAGCAGAGTCTCATCCTTTCCTTGCATTGTGCCTGGTTAGCTTGAATCATTCAACCACTCGCCTTTCATTTAGTAGCTGAACACTTAACCCAGTGTGCCACCAAGGCTCCTTAGCTCAGACCAAATTCCAACCAACATGTCTTCCTTTGGTCTGGGCAAGATGGGGTTTCCTGCCTCTCATCTGAGAATATATATCACATTTCATTTTAGCCTCACATCCTATGAATCTTCCTAGGAGTTAACTATGGAATCAGGAGCTCCACCATTTTTACCAAAGACTGGTTAATCAAAACCATACTCATTTAGGGAGAAAAAAAAAAAAAGACATTAAAAAAAACCCACCCCAGCTCCGGAAACACAGGGAATCCAGGACCAGTGGTGAGAGTATCCATACCAGGAGGGTGGGGAGAAGGTACGGTAGAAAGGGGGAACTGATTAAAAGGATCTACATATAACCCACGCCCTGGGGATCAGACAACAGAAAAGTGGGTGAAAGGAGATGTGGGACAGTATAAGATATGACAAAATAATAATAATTTGTAAATGATCAAGGGTTCATGAGGGAGGGGTGGGCGGGGAGGGAGGAGAAAAATGAGGAGCTGATACCAAGGGCTCAAGTAGAAAGCAAATGTTTTGAGAATGATGATGGCAACAAATGTACAAATGTGCTTGACACATGGATATATGTATGGATTATGTTAAGAATTGTATGAGTCCCCAATAAAATGATTAAAAAACAAACAAACAAAAAACCAGCTCCATTCTACAAAATACTACTGCAGACTGAGCAATTGAATTGTATGCTATGTGAATTATATGCCAATAAAATTGTTGGGGCAAAAGACTACCACAGAACCTGAAGTTACCTTCTTAAGAACAGGATCAATGTCTCTTAGTATTTGAATGAGCATAAACAGCATCTTCCTGGCTCTTGAAGTATGGTGGGTGGAAGTAAATGCTGTTTTGAAAATCATTGCTAGCATTTATTGTGCACTTACTCTATACCGCATACTTTATATATTAAATATGAGGTTAAATCAGAAAATACTGCCATCAAGGCTCCAGTTCATATATGCATAAGTTTATTCCAAACAAAATGTGTTTAAACATGTCTCTGCAATCATTGGTAAAGGTATGAAAACTTCTTAGCCATTCCTTGAGGAAATGTGTGTCTGGGGGAACTCAGGATGATAGTTTGGGGAGACATCAAGGTCAGCTGACACAACGTAGTCCAGAAACACAATGCTCCATATCCTACTTTAGTGAGTTGTGACTAGGGTCTAAAGAGCTGGTTTAAAATTTTTTTTAAAAAGCTTGTGAGTGGCCACTTAAGGCTCTCTCTGAGAGCAAATACGTGTGAAGAAAACCAAAGGTGCAAGGAAACAATCCAAGACTAATGACATTAATCTAAGATATCAACTCCAGTCTCCATGACCCTGAGACCAGAATTAGTTGATGCCTAGCTACTACTGCCAACAGCTCTGAAAGGGATCAAGATTGGAGGCCTGAGAGTGGGAGAAAAATATGAATGAAACTCAATTCATAAAAAATACAGGCTTACTGGTCTAAAGGAGACTGGTGGAACCTTCAAGACGATTTTACAGGCCAGGAACTGAACTCATACCATGGCCCAACTTTTAGCCAAACAAGTGACAGGCCTGCTTGGTGAATAATACCACAGAGGTGGCTATCCTTAAAAGAATTAACCACAGAGAGAAAAAAACCCATAAATATAGTTTAGAAGGCAGGAAGGAATAAGCAAGGACAAATGGAAATGATAAACTGAGGGAGAAAGTGGTTGAGAGTATTGTTACATTGTGGGATTGCAAGCAATGTCACAAAATGTGTATTAATTATTGCATACAAAAAAAACTTGCCGGAGTGGGGGGGGGAGGGAAAGATGGGGGTTGTCAACCAACCCAGGGACAAGGGAACAACAAGTGATCTAAAATTGATCGCAAGAAGGGTATAGGATGCCTGGTGGGGCTTGATCAAAGGTAGTCTAGTCAAGAAGAATTACTGAAAGCTGAATGAAGGTTGAACATAACAGTGGGACAAGAAGCAAGAACTAGGAGGCAAAGGACATTTAGAGAGGTCTAAATACAGGCATGTAGAAATGTAAATATAT